TGTAACTTCTGGGACAAGAGTGCAATTCACAAGAAACTGAAGGCTTTGGGGCAACATGAGTACATTCTGTGGAGGCAAAGGACAAGTACAGAATTTGGACATCACCTTGGGCAGTCACAAAGTTGGCTGTTTGGCAACATTAACTAATTAAGCTCCTTCATGTTGCATGCTTTTAAAATGAGTTATATGTTTGTGGTTATTTTTTAGTTGTTTGGGTACAGACTGGGACTTGGCTGGTTGGTACACAGACATCCTGAGCCTGGCTTCCTAAGTGGGCTGTGGCCTGACTCCTCTGCATTCTCATCTCTCCTGCCACCACGACCCTGAAGGCCGGCTGCCCAAAGAACCTAGCTTGCATCTGTCTCATCATCCTTACTGCCACTGAGCACGAGCAGAAAAACAGATGCTTTGACAGTCTCTGGGAAAGGGAGGACTGCTTAGGGAAGCTAGCCAGCGTGACTACTGTAGTTTGGAAAGTGCCCCAAGGAGACATCATTGTAATTGATTTTAATTCTTTCTTTTTTTTAATAAAGTAATATTTCTAATTCTTAAAAATGTAAGTGCTCGGGGAGGGTTGAGGGCCCACCAGCCTTTCTTATCTTTGTGGGCTCTGTTCAGTTAGATGCTCACCTAGTGTCTTCCTTGCCCCTGACTTCTCACCCAGACGTGGGGGAGGCAGTGGGGGGTGTGGTGGTGGTTGGGGCAGGAGGAAGGACCCCAGGCTCCAGAGAAGGGAAGAGGGAGAGGTGACAGGGAGTGGGAAAGGAAGTCCCCATGCCCAAGCTTAGCCTGACTGAAGTTCCTCCAGGAGATCACCCTATGCCTAGATAGGACAGAGCTCTCCTCCCCACCCTCCTACTGCATGGGTTGCTGTCTCCAAGGACCAGCCCAGCTTCACCACCCATAAAATAGACTTTTGTACACTGGTCCCTGAAAGACATTTTCTGGGGCAAGTTCTGGACGACTCATGTTCACATGGGATGTGGTGAATGCCCCTCACCTGTTACCGGAGATTACTGCTCCCAAGAGTGTTGCGGGAGAGGACGACTGTCAGTTGGTGTCAATGAAGCCTCCCTCCCAGTGTTACGTTCCTGATTACCCTCCATTTTGATTCTGGCCTTGGCCATGTGACTTGGCTTGATCACCTGCCCTAGCAGAGGCTTGATAAGCACTTGCACACGGGGGCTTGACTTCTTGGAGCATGCTGCAGCCAAGAAATCCTAGTGTCTCACTGGAGAGGCCACAAGGGAGGGAACCAAGGAGCCTGGCTGACACCCAGCAAGCTGCCAGACATGTGACTGAGCCCCCGCTGAGCTGCCAGATGACCACAGTCACATGAACGATGCAGGCAAGACCCACAGCAGAACCATCCAGTGGAGCCCACCATATTGCAGAATAATAAGCAAAGAGATGATTGTTGTTTTAACAGCCTATGTTTTGTGGTAATTTGCTACTCCATATATGAATGAAACAACAGACATATTCTTGTGAGCTGTGCATTGACTGCCAGTTTCATTATAGTCCATGGTAGTAAATAACACAGAGAAATGGAATGCACAGATTGTTACACATGTAATGAGTCTGCCATTCACACGGAACATTTTAAGTAGTTTTAAAAAACTTGTGACCCAGTTGAAAATACCATGGAAGGACAACTCTTCACATCAAGGCAGGCCTCAGAGTGTCCAAGAACATGCACTGTTTTGTGATTAAACTGTTTACTTTGGACAGAAAAACATAAAAAAGTACTCCAAATAGACCATGGTTTGTTAAGACATACTGCCATGTACAGATTCTAAATGAGGTTAGAGAATTTCCCCTTTCCCCATGATAAGAGGCTGTAATTTTTGGTTTGAGAGAGCAGGTGGAAGGATTTATGAGTACTGGTGAACACTTCTGTGTGTGTTTTCTCCCATTTGTCAGGCTGCAGGGTCTTAGTTGATGCTTCAGTGTTTTAGGTCCAAGGGTCCAAAATGGCAGACATTCCTAACATGAAACAACATCAACCATCACCCGATCTGATGCTGTGGAAAATGAACATGGTGGCTTGCCCTGTGCAGGTCACACGGTTTCTGGTAACTGTTGGTGGACCTGGTGGCATCAGAAGGGTCCTTCTGTTGGGTTCTGACTGGGCTGGTTCCCGGGCCTCTGTGTTTCTGTGCTGTGGTTTCTTCACCTGTGCTTTCATTCATGCATACATACAATGCACATTCATTAAGCACCTACTATGTGCCTGGTTCTGGGTGACACTGGTGAGCAGGTCCAATGGTGGTCATACTTGATGACATCTGATCCATTTAGCTCCTGAACAATGAGTCCTGTGGTGCAAGCCACAGAAGTCAGTGGAAGTGCTACTATAACCCTCAACCATTCTGAGTCCTTTATGTAAGGAGAAGCAATGGCCGCCAACCTTTTTCCTTTTGCTCTGTTGGGAGACTGAAGGGCATGCACCCTGTGCTTCAAAGGTGTACCACTGTATGGATCTTCCATCTACCACGTTCCCATGCCATCCTCTAGGGCAGAACACCATTCCTCCTGCACATGGGCTCCACAGAGGACTCACTTCTCCTGTGTCCAAGATACTGGGTGAAGGTCAAGCCCTCTCCAGGGGTCCAGGCCAAAGGGCACATATCCCTTCCCCACGTGTGGCTGTCAGCATGTCACCATGCTGTAAGAACCATGTGTCTGGATGGCCCTGATTGCAAACAGGTTGTCTGATGCTGGCTTCAGCTCTGAGCTTGGAAGTGTCATCATGAAGGCAAATGTGGGAACATGTCCATAGTGTCCCTTTCCTATTAATGTTTTTGTGATTCAAAAGTTACTTTTTAAACAAAGATGAGAATTCCATATGTGTCTTGAGTATAAAGTACACAGAATGAAATGAAGTAAAACACACACACACACACACACACACACCCCTTTGGGATCCAGAGAATAAGCTTTCAGATAAGTGTGTATTTATACACATAGAAAAAAGTTAAATATTCACCCAGCAATATGAAAAATTTAAGATACTTCAATTCCAGGGAAAATGTCAGTAGTTAAGACTCCAGATCATGTCCACAGACAGGGGCAAAAAGCACAATACAGTCTTTCTAAGTCAGAATTTGGAGGAAAACATGCTTCCTTTTGGGCCTGGAATCCCAAGTGCTATGGTGCTGTGCACTTTGTTTTGGTCACACTGCTGATGGGAAAATGGGAAACATTTAGAGCAGTTAGAACAAAATTACAGAAGACAAGGTTAACCCAAGGACTCTCAAATCGATACTTGTTTATAAAAGATGTAAGTTTGAGGCTTTAATTAGGAATTACTTTGGTTTCAGACAGAAGTCTAACAGATTTGGTCTTCTGATTTTCTAACTTACAACAGTTGGAAAATAAAAAATTGGAAAGGGAGTGTGAGCTGAGGGAGCCCGAGGATGCCAGAAATGAGAGGTGGCAGTGTGACGTGAGAAGGGGCAGAAAATCCAGAGAAGTGAAGGGGAGCTCCCAGTGAAGCTATATCAGGCTGCCTGGGGTTCAGGAAAACCACATTCGAGCTGAGCCCTGAAGACAGCCCTATGTCACCGGAAAGGCACATCTGCTCCTCTGTGTGAAGTGGGAGGGGTCACAACACTGCTGGTGTGACTTTTATGCGAAGCTGCATTTGAGGGTGTGAATTACGATTATTTGCAGGATCTGTATGTGTGTCCTCATCCCCTGCCAGCACCAGGCAGTGAGCAATGCTTGAGCACTAACCTGCTTATTGGTGCTGGAAATGGTACTGGGGGGAGCACAGCAGAATAGTGTGTCAAATTCAAAATACGACCAATCCAACCGTGGGTGTCCAAAGCTGGGCTAAATTACATTACAAAGCAGGTGTCCAGGTGGCTCAGTGATGCCCAGCTGGAGGGCCCACCAGGTTACAACCACACTACTCCCAGGGGTAAAGCCACTCCTGCCACCATTACTAGCCTCAGTCGACCAACACTGACAGTGACCTGCTACATTTGCAGAATCCCTCCATGTAACCCTGCACTGCAGCTTCACAGTAATGCCGTGCTTTGGACCAGCTGGGCCGGTGGGATTCCCCTCCTAAACTAGCCAGCTGGGCAGATGCCCCCTCACATCCAGATTTGCTAGCAGCTCTGCACTTGACCAGTGAGGTCGACTGCCCCTCCCTGCTACCCACAAATCCCCGTGGTCCTGCTTGCCAACACTTACCTGGAGCTAGATGTCCCGGCTGCCCTGCATAGATGCAGGTGGCCAGGCAGAGTCAGGAGGGCAGTGAGGCAGGGTCAGGCTGGACTGCACCTGGGGTCTCCCCACAGCCCCTGGGGCTGCGATGACCCGTCTGTCCTTGCTGTGCGTTGTGGCTTCAGCTGGGCTCCTGCCTTGGCTGCTGCCTATGCCTAGGGAGCTGTTCTTGGAGAACAGGAAGGGGCTCGGCTTCAGGGCCTGGGGGATGGCATCTCTTGGGCAGCCACCCAAGGGCTGGGCAGTTGGCAACCCTTCTCTCACTGGCCCACAAGCTTCCTGGGTCTGTAGCCCCATTTGTACCCACTGCTGTTGCTTGGCAGCTGGGCAGGGGTCCATGCTGTAAGAGTCCTGCATAGCCAAGGGTCTATGCAGGAGCCCCTGGGAAGGGCAGGCAGAGCTCCCCGAGAACTGGCTCACCACCAGGGAGTGGGGTGGGTGCTCCTGACTCCCAGCTGTGTCCTTTGGGTTACCTGCTTCTCCCTGCACAGATGGGGGCAAACCCCAGCACAAGGTAGGAGGAATGTCACTGGCTGGCCCTGCCCATGGAGGGCACAGGTTGGCCATGGTCGACCAAAGGTGGTGGAAGGGGTCAGGCTGGGCCTGCCTTGCTACCTGCCCTGACTCCACCTCCACAGGGACTAGTGCTGGCTGGCCCTGGATGGGGGAATCCCAAATGCTTTCCAAAGGATAGGTGCCACAGGAGGTGGGGTCTGAGGTGATCAAGGGCTCTTGACTCTGACCACTGTGTGAGGCTGTCCAGGTCACGGGTTCTTTGCAAAAATCCAGAACACCAGCACCTGGCTGAGCCAGGTGTCCAGGGGCATTTTCTCCTAAAGGGAGTGAAGATATGTGGTTTGGCTGAAACACCTGGAGAGGTTGGCTGGGGCTAGAGGCCTCAGAGAGGGGGCTGAGGTCAAATACTGTTGGTTTCTGGCATATCGTGAAATTCAAGGGCATATCCTGGCTGTGCTGAAGCTGCCACTGTGGAGAACTCTGGAGTGCGGGGCCAGAGATGAGAAAACGCTGGGTGTGTGTGCGAAGGTAGCCGGGCACTGTGCCCGTGTGCTGAGGTGAAGTCACTTTCATGCTGAGCTGGCCCGAGCCCAGCAAAGGCTGTGGCTTTAGGGTCTGTGGCACAGTTGTGCTGGATGGTGGGGGCAGTGCCACATTCCCACTGTCATGAAAAAGCACTTCCTTTCCCCCGTGGGCGCCCCCTCCCTGGCTGGGTGGTAGTGGGTGGCAATTCTGAGACCCTGCAGGGCCTGAGTCAGCCCTGAGAAGGCTCTCTTCCCACAGACGCTGGCTGAGGTCGGTGACCCCCAGGTGCTGGAGAGTGGAGCAGAGATCAGGCTGTTCTGTGTCCTTCTCCAGCAGGGTGTCAGTGAGAGCCAGGAGGGAGTGGTCTTCCACCTCCTCTTGCTCTTCCTTGCACTCATGACTGTCATTGGACCTCCACCTCGCCAAGGGTGAGACTTGTGGGGTTGGGGCAATGCAGGACAAGTGTATGGATTCATCTTGCTGCATCATGGCTCCCAGAAGAGAGCCTGGGCGCACAGGGCCCTGACCAGTGGGGGTGCCCTTCCTTGCCCTGATCCTCTTCCTGGCTGGGGTGGCAGTCACAGGGCTCAGGGGGCTGCTGTCATACAGGATGGCTTCCCCTGTGGTGAAGATGAATGGCAGCTGCAGGGCCCTCTTGCGCAGGTGCTCCTCCCCCTCTGCATTCCTGTGGTTAAGGAAACACAAGACCACATCTGAGAATGGGTATATGAGTGAGAAAGGGAGTCTCCTGGTCAGGGGACAGTAATGGCCAAGTAACTGAACAAGTGAGCAAGGCGCTGGACATCATCTGTTCTGGTTTTCTGGTTTTTCCATCCAAGGGAGAAGACATAATATTGAACTTGCTTCTCTTTTGCATTCTTTGGAGTATAAAATCTTGGCCAATACTTTCTGTCTTGAATTCTGAAGCAGTCTCAGAGGAAACTGCTTATTTGTGGGATGAGTTTTCCAAAAACACATGTAGAAATTCCCTAAACTTCAAGTTTACGTCGAAAAGAATAAATCATTATGCAAATATGATACATGCAACTGTTTTTCACTGTGAAAAATAATTTCCCTCTCCTTCCTCCTCTCCCTTCCCTTCCAAAAGACACATGGTATATGGCTGCTATAGGGCCGCCCCAACAGCCATGTCAACACCATGCTCAGCAAGGTGAAAGACCTTCACTTGCTGGCCTGACTCCACTTGGAATCTCACATTTGGTTTGTAGGTCCACAAAGGAAAACTGAACTAACATGGAGTGTCTTTGACAGGAGCTGACCAGGATGCTGTGGGCATAGGAAACCCCATCACTGGAGAGACATTTAGAGAAGCTGGTATCTCACCTTAAGATCTCTGGTCATAGCCTTTGTCCTTAAGTCTGCTTTGTACGATATGAATACAACCACTCTGGCTTTCTTGTACTTACTGTTTGTACCACATATCTTTTATTTTATGTCTTATTCTTTTCAACTTATTTGTGTCACTATTTAAAAATATATTTCTTGTGCTTGCTTCAACAGCACATATACTAAAAATATATCTCTTGTAGAAGGCATATGGTTGAGTGCTTTTTTAAAAAACCATTTCGTCAACCTGTGTGTTTTAACTGGTGTGTTTTATCCATTAACATTTAGTGGCATTATTGCTATGTCTGGATTTGGGTCTTTTATATTATATTTGTTTGTCCCCCCTTCTTCCCCTCTATTCACCCCTTTCCTGCCTAGATACATTAATTTTTTAAGAAATTCATTTTCACTTATATACTGTATTTTTGGTTCTATCTTTTGCATTATATTTTTAACGGTTGCTTTTGAAATTATGAAATATACCCTCAAGATTTCAATGTCTACTTAGAATTAGTACTGTGCCACTTTACATAAAACATGTAATGTTTTGCAATGGTCCATGTACTCCTAACACCTATCCTTTATCCTAGAGGTGTCTTATATATTACATCTGTATATGTTATAAATCCCATGCTATATTTTTGGCTTAAGCAGTCACATGTATTTTTCTTTAAAAGATTTTATTTATTTATTTGACAGAGAGAGACACAGCGAGAGAGGGAACACAAGCAGGGGGAGTGGGAGAGGGAGAAGCAGGCTTCCTGCGGAGCAGGGAGCCCGATGCGGGGCTCAATCCCAGGACCCTGGGATCATGACCTGAGCCGAAGGCAGACCCTTAACGACTGAGCCACCCAGGCGCCCCAGTCACATGTATTTTTCAAAAAGGAAAAATAGTATTTTATATTTGTCCACAAGGTTACCATTTCTCATCCTGTCCACTCCTTTTTCAAGGTTCAAACTCTTAGTGGATATCATTTCCCTTCCACCTGACATATTTCTTTTAGCATTTCTTATAGTGCAGATCTACTGGCAATAAATTGTTGGATTTTTTTTCCTTTAATGAAAATGTCTTCGTTTGCTATTATTTTTGAAGGATATGTTCACTGTTCACAAAATTCAGAGTTGACAATTTTTTAAAAGCACTTTCAAAGATATTGTTCCAATGTTTTCTGATCACCATTTTTTCTGTTGAGAAGTCCACAATAATCTGAATTGTTTCTGTATGTAATGTGCTTTTTATCTTAGACTGCTTTTAAAGTTTTCTCTTTAGCTTTGGTGTTCAACAATCTGACCAGAATATGCCTTGGTGTGGTTTTCTTTGTATTTATCCTGCTTGGAATTCGCTGAGGTTCTTGAATCTATAATTTTTCCCAAACTGGAGACGTTTCTGGTCATTATTTCTTCAAACATGTATACACACACGCACATAAATATATAGACAGATATAGGTATAGATATATTGCCCACTCTCTCGGTTCTTTTTCTGGGATTCCATTTACTTATATATATATAAAACTATATATAGGATATAATTTCAAGTATAAAACTTAAATATGAGCCAAAACATACGTGAAGGAAATACAGCGATATATTGACAACAATCTTGACTGATCCGCAATCACAGGAGCGTCGGACCCTTCCTTGGGCCCTCCCTTCCGGCCCTCATTTGCCTGGGACCCTCCCTTCGGTCCCGCCCTTCCGGCCCGCATTTGCCTGGGACCCTCCCTTCGGTCCCGCCCTTCCGGCCCGCATTTGCGTGGGACCCTCCCTTCGGCCCTTCCGGCCCGCATTTGTGTGGGACCCTCCCTTCGGGCCCGCCCTTCCGTGTGGGACTCTCCCTTCGGTCCCGCCCTTCCGGCCCGCATTTGCGTGGGACCCTCCCTTCGGGCCCGCCCTTCCGGCCCGCATTTGTGTGGGACCCTCCCTTCGGGCCCGCCCTTCCGGCCCTCATTTGCGTGGGACCCTCCCTTCGGGCCCGCATTTGTGTTGGGGCCTCACTTAGGGGCTTTTATTTACGCCTTGTTTCAGGATCGCACGTACGTCGGGACCTCGCTTTTACGACAGGGTCCTCACCGGGGGGAGGGCGCAAGAACCTCTTTTCTGTCAGTTCGCTCTGCCGTCGGGCACCGCAGACGTCGGGCCCTCCTTTACGACAGGGCCCTCACTTCCCGCCCGGGCCCTACTTACGTCAGGGCCCGCTGTCGGGCGACGATGTAGTCGGGCTGGCCGCCGCGGAATAGCAGGCGGGCGTTGGACTGCACCCACAGCCAGCCGGCCTCCTTGGTGAGCAGCCGGAACACCGTGAGGCCGCTCTCGCCCGTCCTCATCACTGCCGAGAGAGACAGAGACAGAGAGACAGACGGACTGCGCGCGCGCCGGAGCCTCGGGCCCCGCCCCCCAGCCCTCTGCCGCGGGCGCTGCGGGAGGCGGCGGGAGGCGGCCGGGGGGCAGGGCTGGGCCCCGAGGGCGCCTCCCGAACTCACGCCGCACGTGGTTCTCGGCGCAGTGCGTCATGTCGGCCGCGTGGATGAGCTGGTAGCCGGAGCCCCTCCTGCAGAGTTCGCTGTCGCTGTAACCCAGGACCAGCTTGCCTCTGCGGAGGAGAAGCGGCACCCCCTCGGCTTACAGCCCTGCTGCCCGCCCTTCCCAGCGCCTCACAGGAGGCCTTTGCAGGCCGTTCAGCTTTGCGCCCAGGCGCCGGGAGCGGTCTTCTCTGGGCTGTCCCGGTCCGGAAGGGGCGCCTCTCCTAGCCACGGGGCTGGAGCCGACCTTGAAGAGGCCTCCGCACTGGCCAGAGTGTGGTGCCCTGTCAGACACGTCTACCGCACACCTGTTCCAAAATTCTGCTTTGAACCTCTGCTGTGGAACGGGGGTCAGTACGCACATTAACTTTGTTGACGACAAATTCCACTGCCTTCGTCAAAGGGCTCTGTGACTGCCCAGCATCTTTGAGGAAGAAATAAAACTTGCAAGTTCCAGCACTAACAATACATTGAAGCACTTGTTCTTAAGCCAGTGCTTTCTAGAATGTGTTCTAAGGGGCACTGGCATTGTAGCATGTTAATTGATTCCCCCAAGAAAGGTTCATTGGTCAAAATTTGGCAACAATTGGGTCAAACCTAGTTAGTTAGATTTTTCATAGTGGGACTTCTTGGGGGTTCACTATGATTTGTTACTGGAAGTCTCTGAGAGGGAGACAAGTATTACTTGGGATTTGCTTTCTGCATCATACCCCCATACTCCTACATGGAAGGTTTGCTACATTGCCCTTATAAGTGGCATCTTTTCTACTAACTCTCATTACAGAACCTGTTTGGACAGGATTGGCCAATTGTTCTTGCCTTGCCTTTGGTTCTAGACTCAGGATTTGGACCGTAATTACTCTGGGAGCACCCTTGGTTCTCTAGGAGTCATGATTCCTGGTCAGAGGGATGTACCTGGAATCACAGGCTATAGGTGTGAAATCCAATTTGTGTTTTGTTTGGAAAAGAAATGTTTTATCTTGGAGCTCCAGGATGGTGAGTGGCTGGCAAGGTGCTGCAATGGCAAACAGGGTGCGTTGAGGAGACATGAGGATACCATCTTCTGACCTATTGTTCTGTCCAGGGAGGAACTTAAGATGGCCATGGAAATTCAACTCCTAGAAAAAGCAGACCCCAAACATAATGAGAAGGGAAAAGAGAAGAGGATGTTAAGTAGCTAAAATAGTCGATATGACTTTCCTCTTATGGAACTCATAGGATCCCCTACCCTCCTTGTAGTTGAACAGGTAGGACTCAGTATAGGTGTGTGCAGGTTTGGAGCTTCCTCATTCTGCTCTGCCCATTAGGCCCAGATTATTTTTCATGGCTTCCCAGTCCTCCCTTCGGTCCCTGACCCACACAGCCTTTTTCAAAGAGCTGCAGAGTTAATTGAACTGTGAGAGGGTATCCAGGAATTGGTAGGCACTTTTAGCTGATTTGGGGGATGGTGAAGAAGGTGGATGTTAACATCCTGGGTTCACCAGGGATCTCCACTTAGGATGCACTGTAGGTAACAGGTGTTACTAAATCCCAAGTAAACAAATCCCATATCTTAACCAGGCAGAGAAAGGTTCAAAAGACAACTTGGTATTCTGAAATGGCAGTGAGCTGAAAGCCAGATTCACCATCCTGGGATGGTGAGGAAGCCTGGCTCAACCCTTGGGCAGTGTCCCATCTGGGCAGAGCACTGGTATAGGAAGTTCCTGAGCCTGTAAGGAAGTGTGATTACCAGAAACCCGGAAGAATTGTCCAGCAGGCAGCGGAACCGACAAAACTTCTTTCCAGATAGGAGGGGTCATCCAAGGGCTGATGCTGCAGGCTGTCGGTGGAGGTGCCACTAAGTGAGAGAAACTTCTCTCCTGGCAGAGCTGGGAAGACAGACAAATGAGGAAGCTCTACCAGAACACTCATCATCACAGAACTGAAATATCTATAGTTCCCAAAGAAGCTGGTGGGTGGAGAGAATGTGGGGTCACAAGCCCTGTGGCCCAGGGAACCTTGGCCTTGCCCAGTAGGATGACCTTGATCCACCACTCCAGCTGGCTTTCTCATTCATCAGATGATGCTAGCAGTCCTGCCTGCCTCCATGCCTTAGAGTGTCATGAGAATCAAATTAAAAGTGAGATGCTGCACATAACATATATATCCAGGAACCCTATTGGTTCTACTGTTGAAATATTCCTTGGAGCCAACTACTTCTCATCACTTCACTCTGCTGTGCTGGTCAGTCTCTCATTATCAGCTGGGTGGAACATCTAATTGAGAAGAGCATGGACCCTGGACAAGTTATGTAACATCTCCATGGGTCCCAGTTATCTGATCTGACTTAATAAGGTTGTAAGGAGAAATATATTTATATATGTAAAGCAGTTGGAATAGTGCCTGGCACATTGTAACCTCTATATAAATTGGCTGTTACTCTCATCATTTTTTCCTCCTTGCTTTAAATTTGCCATAGCCTTCTAACTGGTGTCCCTGCTTCCACCCTTGCTCCTATGGTCTGTCCTCCACTCAGTAGCCAGAATGACTTTATTTATTTATTAAAGGTTTTATTTTTATTTTATTAGAGAGAGAGACACAGTGAGAGAGGGAACACAAGCAGGGGGAGTGGCAGGCAGAGGAAGAAGCAGGCTTGCCGCTGAGCAGGGAGCCCGATATGGGGCTTGATCCCAGGACCCTGTGATCATGAACTGAACCAAAGGCAGACGCCCAACAACTGAGCCACCCAGGCGGCCCCAGAGTGACTTTAAAATACAGGTCAGATCCTGTCCATTTTGTGTTTAGAACTCTTCAGTGACTTCCTCCCTTATTCCGCACCCTTTCCTGCCCAGGTGCTGGCCAGTTAGTTTCCCCTTCCCTGTGCCCTTCTCAGTGGCCTCCTGGCCATTCCTTATCTATGCTAAGTGCACTTCTGCCTCTGGGACTTTGCATTCATGCTGTTTCTTCCCCCTGCACTCTCCTGCCCCATTTATCCATGAAAAACCATGCTGCTTTCAACCTGTGTTGGAGTGCTGGTTCAGTTTGCTCTCTTTCCTGTCCTAGGGGTTTGTAGGGAAGTCTTTGCAAAGGATAATGAGAAAAATCCCAAACTCTTGGGTTAAAAATAGAAGTACCAATGAAGCTTCATTAGAAAGTCAAAGATGCAAAAACCAAATTTGTTCTCTTTTGCTGTAATTCTCAACCTGACAAGTCAGATTATACTTACACGGATGGTTTTCCCTGTGTCACACGAAAATTGATTGGTTTAGACTTAAGTGCTGCAGGAGAATAAAAAAGCAGGCTAGAGGGAGGAACAAAGGAAGGCTTATGATCTGATAAGTTTTACTACTTTTGTAATCTTATTTATTTATTTATTTTTCAGATTTTATTTATTTATTTGACAGAGAGACACAGCGAGAGAGCAGGAACACAGGCAGGGGGAGTGGGAGAGGGAGAAGCAGGCTTCCCACGGAGCAGGGAGCCTGATGTGGGGCTTGATCCCAGGACCCCGGGATCATGACCTGAGCCAAAGGCAGACGCTTAACGACTGAGCCACCCAGGCGCCCCTGTAATGTCATTTAATAAAACCCCTAAAAATAAATAAATAAATAAATAAATAAAATAAATAAAACCCCTAGCACAGTGCCTGGACACGGTATACCCTCAATAAATGTTAGAACATATACACACATGTATAAAACACACATCAACTTGAATTTGGTTTAGTTGGGTGGTCTTCAGACATTTTTCTGGCATTTTTATAGCATGGCATTAAAGTTTTACTTTTATTCTGAAGAAATGTCATTTATAAACATGTGGGTACACTGCTGTATGGTTTCTGCTACTGCAGGGCTATAACAGTGTAAAAGGTATTTAAAAGTATGAAATTATATGCGAAATTCCAGAGTATCCATTGTTAAGGAAATAATTCAGACTTGGCAGTGTCAGGAGCTGTATGAAAGTCTGAACCTCAAATTTCTTTTCCTTTCTCTTTTGACCCTAGCTGGTCAACAGGGACAGGGGTGGAGGCACAGGGGTGCAAAGCTCAATGCTGAGGAGAGGGTTCCTCCCTTCAGTGAGCTGATAATATTATGGGAAAGAAAAAAAGTGTGAAGACCTGTTTTGGGATAAGTAACTACCCTGCTGGACTTATGGCAGGTCAAGACAAAGTCTTGGGTAGAATGTCTGGAGTGGGAGCAGGCTTTGGAAAGAGATGGACTAAAATCACAGCAGCCAAAGCTGAACTGAATAAAGCTGTGCCTTATGAAGTTACACAACCATATCTTGTAGTCAGTCTTGTAAATTTCTTCGTGCTTAGTATTTTAAGTTATCCATCACAAAAGCATGTCATTACTAGTGTGCAAACATTGGCATATGGATTCATTTTTTTCTAATTGAAGCCTCTGTTTTTTGAGTATTTTATTTTTTTCTAACCATCCTTCACAACAAAACAGGGAAGAGCCTTTCTTTGCAGCCTGTGTGGGTGCATTAAATGTACTCTAAATACTTGGAAAGGGGTCCTGTATCTGGACTTACAAAATAGCATTTACTTGTAAATGACAATATTGCCTTTTGCCTATGGTATCCCACCAGTTGGCAGAGTAACACGCTATGGCCATAATGGCCTCATACCTCGTATACTCAACAGATACACAAATATGAGTCCCCTACCAGCTTGATCATCGCTCAGGGGATGCACCTGTCTGCCCTTAGGGGATGCTCTTACCTGGGCAGGCAGGGTATTTCCTCCAGGTTGAGTCTTATCACTCACCAGTTGGATCCATCTGGGCAAACATCACTTTCCTCATCTGAACATTTATATGTTTACTTTGTCTCAGGTACTGTTCTAGGCACTGGGAATACAGCAGTGAACAAGATCTGCAAAAATCCCTCCCTGTATCCTACTGGTAGTAAAATCAACAGATGCTCATGCCTTATGTGTATTTTCTAGTTCCTAGGAGGATCACATGAGGTCACAGATATGAGATGGTTCTGAAGGATGCAGAGTCCTATGCCAACACACACTACCTGATTCCCGATGCAGCCCTTCCTCTTCTCTTCCCCTCATACACCTGGGACTGAGTGCTGCATCAGTGCTTAACAAAATATACATTGGAGCTGAGAAAGCCTGGCTTCCTGGTCTGATTTCTTCCTCATGGACTATAAGGGTTGAAACACATGTGCAGGGTTGATTCTGCATTTAGCTCTTCCCCCCCAACAAGCCTTGGTGACTTACGGTGGATGTCCTGCTCACCCTCTCTGCTGACAGGTGCTGCATCTGCAGGCCAGAGAAACTGGCTCTGGAACATGGCTCTGTCCTCCTTGTGGATCAGTTTGAACACACTCTGATAGATGACATCTGACTGCAAAGACCAAGTGACAACATCACACTCCTGGGGATGCTTCTTGCCTCTCTGAGGCTATGTGTGACCTGTTCACCTCAAATGTCCCTGAGTCATCTCTAGAACCTCTGATCCTTCCAGGCACCCTGGACTCACCTGTCCTTGTCCCTCCCCATCCTGGAGGCTGGCTGGTGCATACTGTTCCTGTTTCCCTCTTCTGGTTTTGCACAGCCAACTTCTCAGGCTGCTGCCGCCCCCAGACCCAGAAAATACCCATGAGATGGGCACTCCCATGGTGTTGGAGGCCATGCCTGTATTGTGTCTTGAAAAGGGTGGCAGTTCTTGGTGCCAAGGGAAAAAAAGAGAGACTGCCTAGCAGACAAGTCACAAATCATCATCAGGGAGATGTCCGAGGTGGGGAGACACATAGGAAGCCACTGAAGTAGCCCTGGAGAGTCGGCTGAAAGCTTTGTGGAAGGAGAATGTTGAGTTTCCCGGGAAGTCAGTCATCAGCTCTTCTGGATAACACAATTAGACTGAATTAGAGCAAAGATCTCATTTCCAGGGAGATCCAAGTTTGTTCTGTCATTTGTTGAAGGAGATGAGTGAATATAAATGCTAATGTAAACTCAAAAGAAAGGGGTTTGGCAATGTAGGGACTTGAACATGAACAATAATTAAGGTATCCTGTCCTCATACAGATTTTGCAAATATTTTACAGATAAAGAGAATGTTAAATAGTTTTCAGACCAGTTTGCCTTGAGAAATCTTAGTGTGTTTCTTGTAAATCAAACAGGTTTAACTTTAAAAGTATAATGAGTCTCTCTACCCTTGCCTATAGTTAACCATTTATTAAGTTATGTTTTATTTGGGTAAAGTTTGGGATTCTTCTTGATCTTCTGAGAGGAATTAAGTGCAGATGAACGTTTTCTGTTGGCATTAAAAAGTTCTGATGGCCTAAATTCTACTCCAAATAAGTTGTATTCTTACCCACTCTTCCCCTGCATCCCCCAACCCACACACAGCATGATTTTTAGGAACCTGTTGTATATAACCATTTTCTGCACAAAATTCAGGGAAAATGAACTTTTCAGGAGCATCTCCATCTCAGTACATGGCAGGTGCTAAATATTTATAAGGGTCTGGTATAATCTATGAAAGGACAAAGATGTTGAGTGGGCCTCCAGGCTGGAAGGAGGTGAAGGGCCAGTGGCATGAAGACCTGAGGAGAAATCACAGGGATGGCAGCATGGGAGCTGAGGCCAAGGGAGGCAGGCTTCTGGGGGACCACCAGGGCAACACAGAACAGACCCTGTGGAGGAATGCAACAGGGCTCTAGCGGAGCTCAGCACCCAATATGCCGGTGCTCTCTGCCTCTACCTGGTCGCTCTATAAAAACAGCCCCATGCAGTAGTGGTATGGGAGAGCTGTGCACACAGGCAGAAGCCCCAGGCTGTGACCTTGACCTCTCTCCTGTTCACCCGCATTGCCGTCATTCTGTCTGCAGCTCTGCTCACTGTCCCTGGAGGTTCTGAAGGGGAAAGGCATCGCAGCCGGGCAGTACCTCCTCTTCTAACCACGCCACACAGAAAAACCCACAGCATTTCTCTGAGATGAAGGGCTTTAGCCAAGTTTATTTTTTCTTTCTTTTGGAAGCTCCTCTTTATAGGGGTTCCTGTCTCTGAACCCTCCCCTACATCATGTTTGTCCTCAGCAACAGCAAGGAAGCAGGTAGCTCGATGCTGATGGTGCGGGTATGGCGAGTGCTCAGGCCTCTGGTCTGCCTTTGACAAATAAAACTCCTTCTCAGATTCTCATCTAAAAACCAGATACAGCATAATGGTACTGACATTTTTTTTTCCTAAAGGAAAGGTGAAGGGGCGCCTGGGTGGCTCAGTCGGTTGAGTGTCTGCCTTCAGCTCAGGTCATGATCTCGGGGTCCTGGGTTCGAGCCCCTCATCGGGCTCCCTGCTCAGCGGGAAGTGCTTCTTCCTCCCCTCCCCGCTTGTGCTCTCTCTCGCTATCTCTGTCTCTTTCTCCCAAATAAATAAATAAAATATTAAACAAAATAAAGGGGAAAAGACTGTAAAATTCAGCAAGTGTGTTCTCATCACAAGTGGGGTAAAGTCCAGAGCTGGTGTTGGGTATGATCTGCACTGCACAGGTGCAGGGTGGGCATGGGAACGTGTGGCAGGTGGAGATGGGGGATTTTGAGTCTTCCTATTGCCCTGATTTCAGAAAACCTTCTGTTGCCATGGCATTGTATGAGCCCCTTCCACTACATGGCGCTTTTGGTGCACACTGCACTTGCAAAGGCCCTGCTGTTTTCAGTCTGCACAGCAGTTGTGTGGAGCACGGGCTGTCTTCCCTCAGCAGCAGGCCATGAAAATGTCCCTCAGGTCTCCAGCTACAGGGTGTATAACTTAAAGGTGTCCCAGCTGCTGCCCGCTGAAATCCACTGGGGCAGCAACTCTAAGGCAGGCCTGCTCCTGGGAGACGGGACTTCTCTGATGGGCAACTTGGCCTTGTCCAATTTCCTTAGAGCCGTACGGTTAGCTAATTCTCCTTCCCTAGGGTCATATCAGAATTTTCAGGACACACAATTTTATGCCCTGGCAGGAACCTCAGGAAATGGGACAAACCAACTGCGGGGGTGGCTCTTAGATTTAGATGCTGGGAGAAGCCAGTGGTCAGTGAGGTGGTAATACCTGAGTTGTTCTGGCAGATGGCGGAGGAAGGAACAAAAAGGCTGAGGGAAATGGGTGTACTGGAATGAATGCAATTCATTAGTCAAGAAGACCCAGCAGAGATTGCATACCATGGGAGGGCCCAGGGACAAACTATACACCAAGGCTACAAGGAGTGCAATATTGGAGGGACATCAACACCACTAAGAAATCTGGTGGTAGGTGATTGTCCTTTGTAGGTCGGGGTTGATGGAAGGACAGGAAGACACTGGGCTGGGCTCAGAAGAGCTGGGCTCATGAATGTCCATTGGGATGATGGAGCCCTGAGGTAGGAGAGGCCAGATGGCTTCAATTACAGTGATGGCCAGCAAGGCAGAAGAAATAATCAAGGGGGCTTGGACCATAGGGAGTTGTGGAGTTGGTTAATAGAGCATGGCATCTCAAGGGGCAAAAGAGATGGGCAGCCAACAATGATACTGCTTAACATCTACAATTAAAGGCAACAACGCAAAGTCAGGAGGCTGAGGGCTGTTACCTAGATGAAAAATGACAATCCTTTGCTCAGTTTCTGAACCTGAGACAAATTTCACCTCTGAAATCCACTGACTGAAGAGGTGGCATGGTCCCTAGGTAGAAGGGCCCTACAATGCCATGGCAAGGTATTTACTCAAGATACTCAAGATATTGACCATGCCTTCTACTGAACAGCACTACTTTCCACGACCTCCCTGGGATATGATATTGCCTGTGATTTACTATCTTGACTGGAGTTGGAGGGGGTAGTTTCAAGGATTTCCTCTTGGACTTTTCTACTATGATATCTCTCACTCTATGGGCCAAGAACCTAGTCTGGGGGTTACTCCAGTTGTCAACTAGATTGATTCCAATCACATGCTCAGGAAATGGGCAAATGACCACTGGGTGGGTCCTGGACTTGGTAAGTTTGCTGTGAACCAGACTAGAGCTGGTACTTCATGTATTATCTGGCCCCAGTGGGCCTTCACCCTGACGTGAGGACCATGATGGCACTGGGTCCCCAGACTCAGACCCCTCAGGAGTGAAGGTTTGCATCAAACACTCAGCTAAGCCATTGAGATGTGCTGAGGTGATGGCTGAGGGTGAGCAGAATTCAGAATGGAGAGCAGAGGAGGGCCAGGTGCTACCCTGAGACCAGCTGCAGTTTGTCCCACTCACCTCTCTCTTTTGAAGTCCCCCCAGGGAGAAAGGCTCATGGGAATTCCTCCTGTGGAGGAGTAGATTTGTGCAGCACAAGAAGTGAGTATGTGCCTCTCAGGTTTCTGACTGAGGTGCATGTGAGGTTGCCCCTCTTGGATGCACACTTGTTTGTGCTGGGGCCACTCTTCCTACAGATTGCTCCCAGCCAGTGACTGAGCATGGCAGGGACACCAAGGCAGGCCTATTCCTGGGAGCAGAGGGGCTTTTCTGCCGGGTGACTTTGGATTGAAGATGTCCCATTCTGCCAGGTGACTTTGAATTGAGGATGCCCCATTCTGCTGGGTGACTTTGGATTGAGGATGCCCCAATGACCCTGCAGTGCAGTTGAAGACACTTCCACCCACCCCCATTCCTTCTGTCTCCTGCCCAAGGGTCAGACCTGCTGCCCCCAACCCCTATTCCCTCCCAGGTCCTCCCAGGATTTTCTCCTGAGGAATCTCTTGCTCATCTCATCCTGCCTTGGCATCTACTCCTCAGAGGATCTAGGCTACCATGCCCTCCACCAGATGAAGAAGTCAGTACTCTGGGAAGGCTCAGTTGAATACTTACGATGTGCATGTGGGAGACTGAGATGGAGACCCAGTTCTTTGAAATTCCATTATAGTCCCATGGAGACAAGCATCACATGGCCCTGTCTCCCTCCTCTCCCAACTAGACTCACCCAAACTCTTCAAATGAAAAGTAAAACCACTCACTTGATGAAATCCCAGGTAGTCCTGGACTGTGGGAGAGACATAGAAAACATAGCCATCCTCTGTAACAGCCATGAGGAAGCCATTGAGAGCCTGGGGAGAGGCAGAGAAGAGTTAGTTCGGGTTTATTCCTTATTCCTCAGTCTTGTGGACCTCCTAAGGGCCAGGATCCAGGTCTGTGAGGGGTTTCTGTGAGTTTCCTTGTGGTGAGCAGTGCCACTCATATCCTGAACTGTCTCTTCTAAAGCAGAGCCTGGGATGTCCTGTTACAAATATCACTCACTCATACCAGCTCCTGGAGAGAAGACAAGTGTGTTTATGTGTGTCTGAGGCAGCAAAGTAGAGCCAATTCCAGCTTCAATATATTGAGAACACTGCCAACTGAGTAATTAAACAAATACACACGCACATATTCTGTTTTTCCCTCTGCATCTCTGTTGTGGGTCTCACCCTTTGGTTAAAAACATCCATTCAAGGCTTCTCATCTGTAGGAGATGAAAAAGCAGCTCCATGTTCTCCATTGGCTGAGGCTGCATGTTGGCCTCACCTGGGCAGGTGGCTAAAAAAAAAGTGCTCATTTATCCTCCCACCCCTTCTGGGATCCACCCTATTAGAAACTCTGAGTATAAATTTTTAACCATTTCCCCTGGGGATCCTGAGGAGGCATCCAATCTAAGGACATGGTTTTGGTCATGATTGAGATGCATTTTAATTTTAAGCTTTCAGGGGAACCACATGGTTATTGTTTGCTTGTAAGTAAATAATAGTTAATCTACTCTGCTCCAGAAACCTCATGCGTGCATTCAGGATTGTGGAAATAAATGAATACCAAACAAATGAGAAAAGCAGAGGCTATTTATTCAAAGCTTGCTAGAGCAAGGGAGTCAGCCATGGTCACTTGAGTTTTAGCAGAGACTCAAAGGCAGACAGAGGAGGAGGGAAAGCTTCATAGTGGAGAAGAGGGATGGCTTTGGGTGTGACCTGACTGGAAGCTGTTGGCATGGTGAGGCTGGAAGTGGCTAACTAGAGGCAGGGTCTCCTACATGACTGGTTAGGGGAGGATATCTGGCTTTCTCTCTTTGGTTATAAGTTGGAAGCAGGGAGAAAAATTAGGGAAGCTATCAGTTATTCATCATGTCCTGGCCATTCTGGGTTGATTGTTACAGAAGTCACTGTCCTGCTTCCTGAATGTTACTAGAGATAGTAGTCTGATTTTCTATAAGTCTGACTTAAGACAGGCTGACTTTTGGGATAAATGTTTATTGTAAACAAGGGTTTGGATTCCTGGAAAGGCTGCTGCAGGCTGTGAGTCAGAATCCTATTTTTATATATGGTCTGGCCATTGTCTCCTTGTATATTCAGTCTCCTAGGATAAGTGTAATATAGGGATAATGAAGGACGTGGTCCATAAACACAACGGAATACTACTCAGCCAGCAGAAAGGATGAATACCCACCATCTGTATCGACATGGATGGGACTGGAGGAGATTATGCCAAGTGAAATAAGTCAAGCAGAGAAAGTCAATTATCACATGGTTTCACTCATATGTGGAATATAAGGAATAGTGTGGAGGACCACAGGGGAAGGGAGGGAAAACTGAATGGGAAGAAGTCAGAGAGGGAGACAAACCATGAGAGACTTTGGACTCCAGGAACCAAATTGAGGGTTACAGAAAGGAGGGGGTGGGGGGATGGGGTAGCCTGGTGATGGGTATTAAGGAGGGCACATGTGGTGATGAGCACTGGGTGTTATACGCAACTAATGAATCGTTGAACACCACATCGAAAACTAATGATGTACTATATGTTGGCTAATTGAACATAAGAAAAAGAATAAAAATGGAGGGAAAAAAGCCCCAAAACAAAAAAACCCCAAAATAAATAAAATCTTTTAAAAAAGACCCAAATAAACTCAGAAATGAAAGAGACATTAAAATTGGTAACAAATAAATATGTAGTATCATAAGAGACTACTGCAACATCTGTGTTCCAAAAAACTGGAAAACCTAGAAGAAATGACCTATATTTGGAATCTGAAAAAGCTGAATTCAGAGAAACAAAGTTTAATGATGGAGCTAGAAGGTGGCAGAATTGGTAAGATGTTAAAGGGTACAAATTTGCATCTAGAAGATGAAAAAGTTCTGGGGATTATGCACTGCATTGGGATTATAGTTAATATTGTGTTAAATACTTCAAAGTTGCTAAGACACTAGACCTTAAATGTTAGCACAGAAAAGAAATAGTAATTATGGGACATGGAGCTGTTAAGCTAATGCTATAATGGTATCATGTTGCAATATATAAATGTATCAAACAACATGTTTTATACCTTAAACTTGCACAATGTTATATATCAATTATGTCTTTAGGAAAATGTTATAACAAATATGATCGAAGAGATTAAGGGTACTGAGAGTACAAATGAGACTTCAGGAGTGACATCAGCAAAATGGCAGACTATAGAAAGTCCCATAAACCCTCCTGTGGTGGAAAATGAGAGCTAAGTGAAATAAGCCAGATGCAGAAAAAGACAAATGCTATATGATCTCATTTATATGTAAATTCTAAAATAGTCAAACTCATAGAAGCAGAGAGCAGAATGGTGGTTGCCAAGGCATGGGGATATGCTGATCAAGGGGTACAAAGTTTCATTTATAAAAAAGGAGTAATTTCTGGGGATCTCATGTATAAAACTGTGACTGTAGTTACAGTGCTATATTGTATACTTGAAATTTGCTAAGAGGGTTATCTTAAATGTTCTCATTACTAAAAAGAAGATAACTATTTTAAGTGATAAATATGTTAATTAGCTTGTTTTATCTTATTTAACAATGTGTACATATAAAACAAGATGAAATCAGAGAGGGAGACAAACCATAAGAGACTCTTAATCATAAGAAATAAACAAGGTTGCTGGAGGGGAGAGGGTGGGGGGAGGGGGTAACTGGGTGATGGGCATGAAGGAGGGCACGGGATGGAATGAGCACGGGGTGTTACATAAGACTCATGAATCCCTGACCTCTACCTCTGAAACTAATAATACACTGTATGTTAATTAATAAATTTAAATAAATAAATAAATGGAAAAAATTAAAAAAAAAAACAAACATCAAGTTGTATGCCTTAAATATATGCAATTGCAATAGTCAATTAATCTTAATAAAACTGGAGAAAACACAGGCCAAAAAAAAAAGGATAATGAAAGATTTTCAGTCTCTCTTCCTGGGTAAGATCTAAGAAGTGATTATTGCGAAGCGATTACTAAGAAGTGGTGAACTGAGCCAGAGGATGCCTGTGACTCGTCATAGCTCCCCAGCCCAGAGGGGGCAGGAGAGTCCCTCTGACCAACTTATTTCACTTAGCATAATACTCTCTAGCTCTACCCATGTCCTTGCAAATAGCAAGATTTCATTCTTTTTTATGGCTGAGTAATATTCCATGGTGTACACACCACATCTTCTTTGTCCATCCATCAGATGGACATTTGGGCTGTCTCCATAGTTTGGCTACTGCAAATAATGCTGCTACAAACATCAGGGTGCATGTATCCCTTTGAATTAGTGTTTTTGTATTCTTTAGGTAAATACCTAGTAGTGCAGTTGCTGGGCCGTAGGGTAGCTCTATTTTTAACTTTTTGAGGAACCTCCATATTGATATCCACAGTGGCTGCACCAGTTTGCATTCCCACCAACAGGGCATGAGGTTTTCCCTTTCTCTGAATCCTTGCCAACACCTGTTATTTCTTGTGTTGTTGATTTTAGCCATTCTGACAGGTGTGAGGTGGTATCTCATTGTGGTTTTGATTTGCATTTTCCTGATGATGAGTGATATTGAGCATCTCTTCATGTGTCTGTTAGCCATCTGTATATCTTCTTTGAAAAATGTCTATTCATATCTTCTGCCCATTTTTTAACTGGATTATTTATCTTTTGGGTGTTGAGTTTGATAAGTTCTTTATGGATTTTGTATACTAACCCTTTATCAGATATGTCATTTGGAAATATCTTCTCCCATTCTGAAGGTTGCCTTTTAGTTTTGTTGATTGTTTCCTTTGCTGTGCAGAAGCTTTTTATTTTGATGAAGTCCCAATAGTTTATTTTTGCTTTTGTTTCCCTTGCCTCAGGAGACATATCTAGTAAGAAGTTGGTTGATGTCAAAGAGGTTGCTGCCGGGCGCCTGGGTGGCTCAGTTGGTTAAGCGACTGCCTTCGGCTCAGGTCATGATCCCGGAGTCCCGGGATCGAGTCCCACATTGGGCTCCCTGCTCGGCGGGGAGTCTGCTTCTCCCTCTGACCCTCCTCCCTCTCGTGCTCTCTATCTCTCATTCTCTCTCTCTCAAATAAATAAATAAAATCTTTAGAAAAAAAAAAAAAAGAGGTTGCTGCCTGTTTTCTCCTCTAGGATTTTGATGGTTTCCTGTCTCACATTTAGGTCTTTCATCCATTTTGAATTTATTTTTGTGTATGGTGTTAGAAAGTGGTCTAGTTTCATTCTTCTGCATACTGCTGTCCAATTTTTCCAACACCATTTGTTGAAGAGACTACCTTTTTCCTATTGGATATTCTTTCCTGCTTTGTTGAAGATTAGTTGACCATACAGCTGTGGGTCCATTTCTGGGCTCTCTATTCTATTCCATTGATCTATGTGTCTGTTTTTGTGGGCCAGTACCATACTGTCTTGATGATTACAGCTTTGTAATATGGCTGTAAGTCTGGAATTGTGATGCCCCCTGCTTTGTTTTTCTTTTTCAACATTACTTTGGCTATTTGGGGTCTTTTCTGGTTCCATACAAATTTTAGAATTGTTTGTTCTAGCTCTGTGAAAAATGCAGGAATTCAGCAAAGTCACAGCATATAAAATCAATGCACAGAAGTCTGTTGCATTTCTATACACCAATAATGAAGCAGCAGAAAGAGAAATCAAGGAATTGATCCCATTTACAATTGCACCAAAACCCATAAGATACCTAGGAATAAACCTAACTGAAGAGGTAAAAGAGCTGTACTCTGAGAACTATAGAACACTTATGAAAGAAGTTGAGGAGGACACACAAAAAATGGAAAAACATTCCATGCTCATGGACTGGAAGAACA